TCATCCTGTTTGGAAGCTCTGTGCCCATTAAACAGTAACTGTCCACCTCGCCTCCCCCAGCCCCTGGGAACTACTATCTACTGTCTGTCTCTACGTATTGGACTATTTTAGGGACCTCCCAAAACCATTTTTGGAAAGGCTTCCCTTTCCCACTGAATTGCCTTTGCACATTTGTTGAAAATCAGTTGACCACATAATATGTGGGTCTATTTCTGAATTCTCTATTCTTTTCCTTTAATCTATATTTATGTACTTTCCCCAATACCATTCAATCTTAATTTCTATAACTCTGTATTATCTTGAAATCAGATAGTGTAAGTCCTGCAACTTTGTTCTTTTTAAATTTTGTTAGCTATTCTAGGTCATTTTTATTTCTGTATGTATGTTTTAGAATCAGCTTGTCAGTTTCTACAAAAATTAAAAACCCGCTGAGAATTTGATTGGTATTACATTGAGTCTATAATATATTTAGAGAGAATGGACATCTTAACCAAACTGGATCTTCTAATGTTTGAATGTGACATTTCTCCTCATTTATTTTGGTCTTCCTTAATTATCTCAGCAAGGCTTAATGTTTCAGTGTTGTGTTCTTACACGTTTTTGTTAAATTTGTTCCTGAGGAGTTTGTTATTTCACATTATTGCAAATGAACTTTTTTTAAATTTCATGTTATAATTGTTTACTGCTAGTGTACAAAAATGCAACCAATTTTGTGTATAAATTTTGTGGCCTATAATTGTGTTAAATTCACTTAGTTCTAGCAGTATTTTTTAGGTTACTTAGGATTTTTTACTAAATAATCAGGTAATCAGTAAATAGCAAAATACTTTCTTCTTTTGAATTTTTATGCCTCTTGTTTTTCTTGCCTTGTTGCAGTGGCTAGGCCCACCAGTGCAGTGTCACATAGCAGTGGTAGGAGCAGGCATTCTTGCTTTGCTCTCAGTCATGGGGGAAATACTTGATATTTCTCTAAGTATAATGTTATCTGAAGGTTGTTTGCAGATACCCTTTATTAGATTTAGGAAGTTACCTCCTAGTCCTTGTCCGTAGAGAGTTTTTCATTATGAACAAGTGTCTAACCCTCTTTAGGAACATTTTTGATATCTTACCCAATAACTGCTTACATCCTATTGGCCAGAACTAGGTCTGGCTGCAAGTAAAGCTAGAAAATGTTCTTCCTTGGGTGAGCACATTACTGCCCCCTAGAAAATCTGGGCTTTGTTGAGAGGAAGAAGGCATGATGGATGTCAGAATAGGCAACTAGCTCCCCTAGGAACACAGTTCTAGATTAATGATTATTTACACTCCACATGTTAAGTTGGCTGTTCTGTTGTCATCTGGGTTCTACTGTTGCCACCAAAATAAATGCTGTTTTTAATTGTTATTCTTTCTTTAGGTAATCTGCTCTCTCTGGTCACTTTTAAGACTTTGTGTTTGATAGTATCCGATTTCAACATGTTGTGCCTAGGTGTCTTTTTTTAGTTTCAAGTTGTCCTGTTTGGGATTTGTTGTGACTTCTGAACCTAAGGAGTTACGTCTTTCATTGAATCAGAAACTTCGCTGCTATTATCTTTTTAAATATGATATTTCCTTAGTATCTTCTGTTAAAAATATGTTGGACCTCAAGGGTGACCCTTGAAAACATGTGAAGGGAAATAAGCCATTCACAAAAGGACAAACATTATGTGACTCTACTTGTATGAGGTACCTAGAATAGGCAAATTCACAGACACAGAAAGCAGAACACAGGTTACCAAGGGCTGGGGGGAGGAGAGAACAGGTGGTGGTTGTTAATGGCTACAGGGTTGCTGTTTGGAATTACGAAAAAGTTCTAGAAATGAATAGTGCCGTTGGTTCCGCAACATTGTGAGTATATTTAATTAAAAATGTAAATTGTGAAAAATTTTTAAGATTAAACTTTTTAAAAATATATCAGACCTTCTCATTCTAACTTCTGTAAAATGTTCACACCTCCTAGTCTATCTATTTTGTATTCTGGGTAATTTCTTCAGACCCGTCTTCTAGTTTAGTAATTCTCAACTGTGTCTAGTTTGCTATTAACCTGTCCATTGGAATTTCAATTACTCTATTTTTCATTCCTTAAGTTACATTTTGTTCCTTTTAAATCTATCAGATTCTGTCCTTTTTCTTTTTTCTGATGCTTTCTAGTTGTTTCTCATTCCTTGTTCAGGTTTCCAATTGCATCTTTCATCTCTATGACCATTTTTAGCATACTTACATGTTTTGTGATTTTTAGATTATGATCACAGGTTTGGTTAATCCAGTCTATGGGAACCTGGGAAATTGAGTTGAGGCTGAACTCCTCCAGAGGTGATATGCATTTGCTTCTGCTAGGTGCCCCAATGCTGCCAAGCTATAACCACTTCAACTCAATTCCAAACCACTGAGGTGGTATATATTTAAAATCCACTCCCATTTGAAGGTAAGTCTATACTTACGAATTCTGAAGGGAGGTTTGATTTCTGTCTTGTGGTAAGGTTGTTATAAAATCTCTCATTTCTCTTTCCTGGAAAGCAGTTTTTTTTTTCCCCAGTGTTTCTAGCCTTTCATTGAAATTATGGGTCTTTTAAAATCCTGATTTTATGTGGGACTCAATTCCAACTTCTTATATTGCCTGGGCCCAAGTCCCCATCTCTGGCCTCCTAAGCATCGTTAAAACCCAAAGCTTTAAGTTCCTGGTATTCAGAATGTCCCTAAAATCACACTTGCTTACTCAGGTGCTTTTAGTTTCCACTTACTAAATTTTCGTCAGCATTTCCAAGTGTTTTGCAATAGAGGAGTTTTAGATTATATTGTTGGAAGTTTGTTTTTCTTATTCAGCTACAGCAATCAGAGCATCGAAGTATTTAATGATTGTTTGCTGGACAGCTATTAAATGAATGCATAAACAAACAGAAGGAGATGCTGCATTTTTAAATGTTTATTACACTTACACACACACACCAGATTATGAAGGTAAGGTGCTAAGAATACAGCAGTAATCAAATGGGTCCCACATGGTCAACCACATCCTCTCACTCAGTGAGAACTTCAACAACTTGATCACAGGTTGTCTGCTCACCCCAAGTTCTGACATCATCCCTGTCTCTCCAAGTAACCCCTCACACCATGGCCTCCTTGTTCCTCCACCTCTCATCTCACTGACTGTGAAAGCTAGGGTTTGAGTGTAGATTACAGGCCCATGTATGTCTAGTTTGAGCAGAAAAGGATTTAGTATGTGGAATTAGTGCCTGCAGTCATTGGATGTACTGAAACATCCAGCCTGAGCTCCTAGAAGTACACTCTCCTCCGACAACACAGTAGAACTGGTCCCCTGGGGATTTCCTCTTTTTGCCACAGTCAGCAAACTGAGGTATCAGGAGGCTGATACCCCAGCAGACGACACCTCTGAGTCGAGGCCTGTGTTTTCCAGCCCCTTTTGCATCTAGGTAGGGCCGTGGCAGAGAATGTGGAGTTGGTTTGGGTAGAAACGATGTGCGCCACTCCTAGGCCTGACCCATAAATACTTCCTGCTCAATCCCGCATGCTGTCTCTTCACCCTTCTGCTGGCTGGAGGCAGGCATCTAGGATGACCCTAAATCCACATGTCAAAAATGGTAGGGGTCCCTAAATGATTATGTGGAACAGAGACTCCCCCCACTCCTGCCTTTGTTGCAAACTGGACTTTCTGTGAGTAAGAAATAAATGTCTTGTGTTATTAAGTCACTGAGATTTGGGGGTTGATATGTCAAAGTAGCTGGTGTTCCCTTGACCGATACAGGGGGCGAACTCCAGTAGCCTCCATCGGGCTTCCCACCTTCAGAGTCCTTGCATGGATCCACAGGTAATGTTACATTGGCCAGCTGCTCAATATATCTATTCAAATAGATATTTTGGCTTGAGAACCAGGGAAATTAATGCAAGATAAACTCACATAACCACTATATCCATTGTGAGATAACCTGAGGCCCAAAATGTATGTCTCATCTAATCTCCAAAGCCCCCCTCTGATTAGTGGACTATGGGGGCATCGGAATATCTGGGAAGTAGCGTTAGCTCAGAGCCAATGCTCAGCAGTCCCTGAGAGCCTTCCCCTAGTGCACAGCCATCCTGGCCAAAGGCCATACCCTCCTCTGCAGGGGAAGCCAGGGAGAAGGTAGTACAGCCCTGGGTGATTCCGCCAGGTCTCTTCCTCTGGCAGAGGGCTCCGGGTCTGTCAGTGACTCATGTCCAGGAATTGGAAGAGAAGCTGCATTGTGAGTCAAGTCTGGGCCATGTTGCTGAGACCCAGGGTCTTTCCACCACCACCCCCGCCTCCACTAGTGCTGTCTCCTGTTTTTGTCTGGGAGGGTGACTCCGTGGCCAATGAGCCAAAAATCCCTGAGGCCACACCATTCTTGCTGACCATGATGGCGACAATACCTGCTTGGCCACATGGCCTCTGCCATCCCAGTATCCTTTCATTCCATTTAACTTCCACCCTGCAATGCCAGCTCCCCAGAGCCTTTCAACGGTATTGCTGCTTCCTTCCTGACTCCAAAATACACCTCTTAATAGCTTGATAGGGTCCCCCAGGCCCTGGCAGAGGACAGTTAGGGGACAACTTAGCAGATCAAGCACAATACACTCCTATCTCTCTCTGTCCTGGGATGACTTTTTCTCCATTAAACCAAGGAGTTTCCAGCATCTTGTCTTCATTCACATGGGCTGTCATGAGCCCTGGTTTTAATTACCAGAGCACAGACAACACCATCCTTGCCCCTCAGATCTAGAACCTATGCTCACTGTCAGTTTTGCCTGATTTGGGATAGGTTTCCTCTAGTATCCAGCAGACAGGAGTCATGGCTGCTGAGGGAAAGGAGGGCAGAGCAGACCCAAGGGGTGGGGTGGGGCTGCACAAATGGCCTCCAGTGTCCTGGGTTCCCACATCGGCCAGCCCTAGGAAACAGTGCAGAATCCCTTCACATGGGCCAAGTGTTCACCCACCACACCCAGCCCACGCAGGCCCGGGAGAGGGAGGCCACTTCCTTGTCCTGGGTTCAGAAAGACAAGACCCGCAACGCTCGTTGCAAGGCCCCCCTCATAACTGTGGGTGTTAGTTCCAAATTAGCACTGTCCCAGGCAACCAGAGTGGCTTTCCGCACCCTGGCAGGCTGCCTCCCACCAGGGCTCTGTCCCAAGCTGACCCTCCTGCCGGCTCCCGCAGCAATGCTAAGAAAGACTCAGATCTCCGAAAGACTCAAACGCCTGCAGAGCTTGGCTTTGAACAAACATAGCTGGCAGCACACCCTCTACCCCCACCCAGAGGTCAGGGCTGGGCTGGCTCTGCTGTCCTGTGTGAACACACCTTAGCAGCCTCCAGGGACTGCAGGGGAAAGTGCCAGCCATTTGCATAACATTACAACCACAGGCAGGCTCTTCCAGAGAATAAGGGCAGGTCCTCTGCTGCCTGGGATAGCTCCCAGCTTGCGCTGAAAGGGAAGAAAGTGCTTTTGGTTGATTCCTTTTAAACTCAAATTCACAGCACCGACCAGCTGTGATAGCTCCAATTACAGGTGATTCAAAGATTTCTGGGCCACAGAAAAACTTTCTGTCCTGGCCACCCACACGCACAGGCCCAGAAACCACACTGGAACGTGACATCAAGGGATGGCTCAGCCCCTTCTATTCCCCACGAGGTCAGCAAGGAGCTGACCCAGCTCAAACCCAGCCCCATCTCTGGGAGTCCCTGCCCTTCACATTTTGCTCCCCAACACCACCCCTTGCCTCGCGCATTCATGTTTCATTGGGAAAATGCCAGCTCCCCAGCCAGGGCTGGGCTTCAGTGGAAACTGTGTCCCGGCCCCCACCCCGGACCCGAGGCCTTTCCAGGGCCCTGTTCACTCTCCCCCGGCTCCAGGGTCAGTAACCAAGGGAAGACCTCCCCAACCAGCAGCCCACATCCTGCCCTTCCTGAGGTTAGACCTTGTAGGGGAGCCTGAGGCTAGAGAGCTGCCTTGGGGAGGGTTCCCTGGGGGAGAGGTGCTCTGTGGGAGCGCTGACTTTGCGGCTCTCAGCTACACTGAGTAAAATGCCCACCTAAGCACCTTCTGGGGGGCGTTCTCTTACTTTGAAACAGGTAAGCTGGGGACCAAAAAGGTGAAGTCATCCACCCAAGGCTGCCCAGCTTCGGAGCCGGGCCGTGGTCATCTCTTTTTATGGGTTCTACCGTTGTCGTAAACGAGAGGCAGACCAGACCTCAGATGCCCCCATCCCGCAGCACACACACACCCACACCCACCCACACACACACATCCCTCATCACATCACTCACACGCACATCACGCACACACATACCCTGACACACAAACAGACACACACATGCACGGAAAGAGTTGGAAAGAATTTTCGGTGTCACGTTTCAAGAAAAGCACCAAAGGTACCCTGAAGGAAAAGCCAGTAGCCCGCGGGCTCCACAGTTTCCGTTTTGATTCGCTCGTTCAACAGTCTGCGGGACCAGGTGCCTTATGGAACACTCCGCGCGCCGAGCGCGAACGCCAGGAGCCGGCCTGCGCGCCCCTCCCACGCCGCCCGGCACCGGCGCCAACGGTCTCGGGGCGCAACCGGGGCCGAGCGCGCGCAGCACCCGGCCCCTCCTGCCCGCGGCGACCCCGCCCCCACCCCGGGCCCGGGCAGGCCTGGCCACGCCCCGCAGGCCCGGAGCCTTCCGCCAGACCTGCCCGGCCCTGCACCGCGCCCTGCCCCTGGGCGGGCCTCGCGGGGTCACGGGGTCAGGAGGCGGGGCGGGGCGGGGCGGCTCCGGTCCGAGGCGGAAGCGCTGGCGGAGGGCTCTGCTGCCGGCTCCCCGCACTCGCCCCTCCTTGGCCGTGAACTGCCCTTCGTCCTGCCTCGCGGGCCCCCGCGGGTCAGTGTCCTGGGACTTCTGCCCCTGACCACGGGCTTGGGCCCAGACTTTTAGGTGAAGAGGATCAGATCTCCGCTCGAGATTCTGAAGATGTCGTGGTCCTTGAAGGTCTCCAGGGAGTTGGATCTCAGGCTGTGGGCTCCTGGATTCTGTTGAGGTCAAGGGTCCCCGAGTGCCGAGTTAGCTGAGACTTCAGGATAAGGAGTTGCCTCGGTCGGGGAAATATTTTGGTCTGGGGTCTCTGGGGTAGAGCTTGCCGAACCCAGTTTGCACTCCCTCCCGAGGGTCTCTTGTTACAGGGCTGTCTGTGCCGTGGGCCATGGTGACTCTGTGGACCCTCATTCTGGCCTCCGTCGCGGGCCTGGCTGCTGCCAGCCCACCTAACATCGTGCTGATCTTTGCTGATGACCTGGGCTATGGGGACTTGGGCTCCTATGGGCACCCCAGTTCCACTACCCCCAATCTGGACCAACTGGCTGCAGGGGGTCTGCGGTTCACGGACTTCTACGTGCCTGTGTCTCTGTGCACACCCTCCCGGTGAGCAAGGGCCGGGAGCCCTCACCCCCGTCGCCCACCCCTGCCCACCTGGTTCTTCCCAGATTCACTCCCCGTTACAGTGGGGAAGGCAGAGTCTGCCTCTCTCTAAGGAGTTCACCTTTCTCTGTCTTTGTCCTCTCTCCTCCTCCTCCTTGTGTCTCTCAGTCAGTTTTGCTCTGTCTCACACATTCTGTGTCTTCTCCTGTAGGGCTGCCCTCCTGACCGGCCGACTCCCAGTTCGGATGGGCCTGTACCCTGGAGTTCTGGAGCCTGACTCCCGAGGGGGCCTGCCTTTGGAGGAGGTGACCCTGGCTGAGGTCCTGGCTGCCCGGGGCTACCTCACAGGGATGGTCGGCAAGTGGCACCTTGGGGTGGGGCCTGAGGGGGCCTTTCTGCCCCCCACCAGGGCTTCCATCGATTCCTGGGCATCCCATACTCCCATGACCAGGTAGGAACCACTAGGGCCCTTCCCTTGACCCCACAGCCCCACCCCACAGCCCTGACCCCTGAAGGAGCTGCTCCCCCAGGGCCCTTGCCAGAACCTGACCTGCTTCCCGCCGGCTACCCCCTGCGATGGCAGCTGTGACCAGGGCCTGGTCCCTGTCCCGCTGTTGGCCAACCTTTCGGTGGAGGCACAGCCGCCTTGGTTGCCAGGACTGGAGGCCCACTACGTGGCCTTCGCCCGTGGCCTCATGGCCGATGCCCAGCACCAGGGACGCCCGTTCTTCCTGTACTACGCCTCCCACGTGAGTGACCCTGGCCCCGCCCTGGGCTGCCCGGGACCCTACCCGATGCTAACTCTAGTCTCCATCCCCAGCACACCCACTACCCCCAGTTCAGTGGGCAGAGCTTTTCTGGGCACTCAGGCCGAGGGCCATTTGGGGACTCCCTGATGGAGCTGGATGCTGCTGTGGGGGCCCTGATGACGGCTGTGGGGGACCTGGGACTGCTCGGAGAAACGCTGGTCTTCTTCACTGCAGACAATGGGTACTCCAGAGGGGGCAGAGGAAGGCTGGCTGATCCCGCCCTGGGCCCCAGGGTCTTCCTATCCTGACTGCTAGCCAAGGACGTAGAGGGAGAAGGGGGTTTCAAGAGATGCTGGCCACGTTATGGTAATGCACAGATGCGTGCATGTGGGAGGCTGGGGGCCACGAGTACATGGAGGTGCTGGTCCTGGTAGGACAGAGAGGAGACAGACACATGCTGGCCATTTCTGGGCAAACTGTGTAACTTTGAAGCCTGAGGCTGGGGTCACCCTGGGCTGCTCACTGCTGACAATCCCCTTGTGTGTCCCAGACCTGAGACCATGCGGATGTCCCATGGTGGCTGCTCTGGCCTCCTCCGATGCGGAAAGGGAACCACTTTTGAGGGGGGTGTCCGAGAGCCTGCCTTGGCATTCTGGCCAGGCCACATCGCTCCTGGTCAGTCTTCAGGCCTTCTCATCCTGGACTCCTGGCCCCACCTCCCCTTCCCTGATGGAAACTGGAGTGACTTTACAGCCCTCTACCCCCAGGAGTGACCCACGAGCTGGCCAGCTCCCTGGACTTACTGCCCACCCTGGCAGCCCTGGCTGGGGCCCCACTGCCCAACGTCACCTTGGATGGCGTTGACCTCAGCCCCCTGCTGCTGGGCACAGGCAAGGTAGGGCCAGCAACCACAGGACCCCAGTCCCCTACCCTGCCCCCTGCCCACTTACCCTTCCCAGGAGTGAGTATGGGCAGCACTGAAGTCCCTGGGGCCAGGATGGACCCTCTGTTGAGCAACATCCAAGTGCCACCGCCCCTGCGGTTCCTGCGGGGATGCGGGGCAGACAGCCACCACACATCCAGAGCCCGCGCAGAGCTGGTGGCCTTGGGCATGGGCAGACCCCCAACTTTGCACCTAGAGCCCTCGGCAGACCGTCTTCTTCTACCCGGCCTACCCAGATGAGGTCCGCGGGGTCTTCGCTGTGCGGAGCGGGAAGTACAAGGCACACTTCTTCACCCAGGGTAACTTCCTCTCCCTGAGCCCTGCTGGTGGCCCTCCTCTCCCCGAGCCCTGTGCACAGACGAGCCTCCCTCCCCAGGCTCTGTCCACAGCGACACCACTGCGGACCCTGCCTGCCATGCCTCTAGCCCTCTGACTGCTCATGAGCCCCCACTGCTCTTTGACCTGTCTGAGGACCCTGGTGAGAACTACAACCTTCTCGGGGGTGTGGCTGAGGTTGCCCCAGAGACCCTGCAGGCACTGAAGCAACTTCAGCTGCTCAAGGCCCAGTTTGATGCTGCTGTGACCTTCAGCCCCAGCCAGATAGCCCGGGGTGAGGACCCTGCCCTGCAGATCTGCTGTCAGCCCAGCTGCACCCCTAGGCCAACTTGCTGCCACTGCCCTGAGCCCCCACCCTGAGAGCCCTGGTAGAGGCCAGCCCAGGGCCCCTCGCCCTGCCCAGGAATTGGTTCATTGGTGTGCTGTGGATGTGTGCAGGTGGTTTCTACCTGAGAGCTAATAACACCAGCTGACACTGGTCTGTGTGACAATTCACGTGATCCTTGTGCTAGCCCTGAGATAGGTGCGGCTCTGCCTGTTACACGCGGGGAACCTGAGGCATGGAGAGGTCATGCGACCTATCTGGGGTCGCCCAGCAGTGAGAGTTTGGGCTGGAATTCTAACCCCATCCCCCTGCTGATTGTTCGTGTCAGTGCAGACAAGTGTGGTGGCAAGTGTGGGTATGTCCATTCCTGGGAGCAGTGCTAGGTGCTAACCCTAACCAGGAACAGGGGTTGGGGGTGGTGAGGGCAAGGTGGACAGCAGACCCCAAAGACACAAAGTGCCCATAAGAACCAGGTTTTGCTCGGGAAGAAGCGCAGGAACTGGACCACACTGGTTCGTATCAGAAACCTGTCTGAAGGCGGGTGAGGAGATGCATGTTGTTTTGGGGGAGGGGGCAGATAATTAGGTTTTATTTACTTATTTTTAGAGGAGGTACTAGGGATTGAATTCAGAACCTTGTATATGCTAAGCATGCACTCTACCACGTGAGCTATACCCTCCCGCCACCTGAGATGCACATTCTGTGTGGTGAAGTGGGCTGGGGGCCCTGCCAGCTCTGAGGAAGGCACGTCAGCAGCTCCTAAGGCCCCCTCCCGGCACCCCTGCGCCCCCTCCAAAGCTCTGCGTTTCCCAGGTACACACACATTTCCAGTCTCCTGGCTTCACCCACAGAAGCCAGCCTACACCCAGCAAAGTAATCTCTTGAAAACACATCAGGTTTGGCTCCATTCCTGCTCAAAACTGCAGACTTACCATCATGCTCAGACTAGACCCCAGACTCCTTGGAGCAGCTACCATGCCCACCCCACACCCCTTCCCTCCTAGCCCTGGCAGCTGGCCTGGCTGCCGATTGTCAGGCCAAGGTGCTCATTGGCTCTGCCTAGGGCCTCCTGACTGCCCACCCACCTGCGTCTGCATGGCAAACATAGCCCTTGTGGGGTTACCCTGTGTGTGTGCTGATGTCAGATCACCTGCTCCCAGAGCGGCCGTCACACCCCACGTGCTCCCTCAGCATGGGTTGAATGAGAAGAGTGCTGTCTGGTTGCTCAAGACCCCGAAATGGGTATCTTTTCTCGTGGTTGACCAAACAGCTGTCCCCTTCCTACTAATGGACCCCTGCTTTTTCACTGGTGTGCAGAGGCCCCTTGACCTCCAAGGTACAGCCTCTCCTAGTCCTAGGAGGGTGGTAGCCAGTCTGAGCCACAGTCCAGTGATTGGTCCAGGAGCAGCACGTGACCAAGGGTCCTGGTCAGTGAAAGGTCGGGGCAACCCACTGGATCCCTGGGTCCTCTTCAGCATTCATCCTCTGGTTGGTGAGGACGGTGCTGTGGCATCACTGGCCCTGACCAGACATCATGCAGCCAGAGTCTCCAGTCATGTACCCCCAGAGCTCACAATGTAAGGAAATAAACCAGCCTGTTTAAGCCACTGCCATTGCATTGTCTTATTACTTGCAGCCGAAAGCATTCTTCCTGGAATGACTTGCAAAGGGCATGAGTTTGTGTGCATGGGCTTCCTGAGTGAGCCTATGTGTGAGATACAGGGTGCTGAGGCCTCTTCTGCGACTCTCCCATTACTTCTAGTCTGGTTTGGAGACTAACCATACCCCAAATCCTGCTGTGTCTTGGAGCTGCCCCATAGGGCAGTGGTTTCCTTGGGGGCCTCTTCAGCCACTGACACTGGCATAAGGGGGGACCGCCCCTTGCGGCCTGCAGCTGGTAGCTGCATCAAGGTGCCTTGGTTTCAGGATGAGGACAGAGAAGAACAGAAGCAGGCGCCTGATCTCTGCATCACATCCGACGATCATACGCTCCAGCAAGAATGAAATGGTTGCCCACGCTTAGGCACAACCTGCAGGCACCTTGTCCAGGTCTGTTGCGGATGGTGAGCATCACTGTATTCGTTCCACGGGCCTTTATTTACCACCGAAGGCTGTGCTTAGTGCTGGGGCACAGGTCAGCAGAGGGGCCGCTTCCCTGCTCTCATGATGCTGAGTGTCTAGCACAGGAGGTTAGCATCAGCCCTGACCTCTCAGACCGCATTGAGTTCAGTGTGCTCATGACCTCTGCCTCTTGGGTTTGGCTAAGAGGGTATTGCCTGGGAAAGACAATAGGGAACTGCCAGGTCCTACAGAAGTTCTCTGGCTTGAAAGAGAGGTGGAAACATGGTGCACACGTATGTATAAAGCTGTCAAGCTACATACTAAAGATTTGTGCACTTTTTGATGCCATGTTTTTTTATACTTCAATAGAAATTAAAATTTAATCATGATTGTGTCAATTATATCTCAGTAAAACTGGAAGAAAAAAATTTAACCCTGATAAATGCCACAGAGGAAGAGTCCTTGGTCCTACAAAAGCATAATCATGGGGTGAGTGGGGGAGAGATCATTGAACCAGTCAATGCTGCTTCCCTTCTGCTGAGACCTGAGGAGGGGCAATCATACCACCCTCTGCATGCAAGGTTCTCCTCTCCCCTTCCACTTCTGGCTTGGTTATGATGCTTTGAGAGCAGAAAAGCTTGTTCTCGTTTTAGTGCTTTAGTGTGATACACCCTCCTCATGCGGGCCCTGGTGTGTATACACACTCCCACATTCGTGCACACGTGCCCACAAACAGGCGTATACCCCTGACAGGCACACACGCGTATTCACACACACTTGCAGCTCCAAATGCTGTCTGCAGTGTCCCTTCTCTGCTGCTGTTGATTTAAAAAGCAGCCCTTCTGTGAGCCTAAGAACATCCACTCCCACCAAGCAGCTTCCTCAAGGAGCCCCGTCTCCTCTGGAAGGAGCTACATGTGTTTGGAATGAATGGAACAGCACACTTGTCGGGGCAGTGGTTTCCCCTCAGGTGTGTAGGGAGGAAGAGGAGACATCCTGAGCCCCCCACCCCCACCCCCAGTGCCACAGGGAGACGGTCCTCCCTCCCCTGCCTTCCCCTCCCCCTCCCCTCCCTCCCCTCCCGACTCTCCTCCCTGCTTAGGTGCTTGCGTCTCCCCTGAGTGACCAGAAGGGGGAGCAAAAGGAGCTGTTTCCATGGAATAAAATTCTCTTCTCCGAATATTTTTCATCACGAAAGTAACACGTCCTTGTTAGGGTGCCCTAGACAGGGCCTGCAGCTCATTCTGAGATGGGCCTCGCTACCAGGTGGGTGTGTGCTCACGAGAATCATACATTTTAACTCTGAGCGTTTAACTCAACCCTGGCCCTCATGGCACCTGGACAGTGCCTGTCCAGCGTCTGGAGAGTCCTGACCCCATCTTGGCCCCAGGCCTGGTGTTGGGGACGGAGGGGAGCAGTAACAGAGGGGGAAGTGCATTTATTTGTGCCCCCAGCCTCCTCGGCTCCTTCATGGGAAGGCCCTTCGTCAGGTGGCTGCAGCCCTGGGGGCGGAAGCGTGGCCTCCTGCAGCACAAGCTGCGTTCTCCTTGGCAGCCTGGCTCCCCCCACAGCGAGCAGGAAGAGCCCCATAGGGGAGCACTCGGGGAGGGTGTGGTCAGAGCTGACTAGTGACGGGCCTGAAGGGAGGGAGCAGTTTGGGTGTGGCGGGCCCAGGATTCCACCCAAGAGTGGAAGCCTTTCCTCATCATTTTGCAAACACGACAGCAATGTGGAGTGAACGGCCACTTTGATGTGGGGTCCAGGGCCTGCCCTCCCCAAGGGCACCCGCTTCCCTGTTGGGGATCATAGCCCCCCTCCAGCCTGGAGGGTCTGTTCCTATGCCTGTTCCTGCCCAGAGGTGGATCTTCAGGGGGTGGGGCCCAGAGAGTGGGGGAGGGGCCAGCTCCACCACGAGGGAGTTGCTGCCACCCCCACCCACACCGTGCCCGAGCAGCCATGTGCCCCTTTGTGCCTTCTTTTCCACCCGGGAGTCCCCAGCACCCTCCCAATACATTTCCTTTTAGCTAAGTTTCCCAGAGTTGGTTTCTATAGCTTGGTTGCGACCACAGAATGCTCACTGATACAGAAGGAGATTAAAAACTAACCCCACTCTCCTGATCCCAGCAAATGTGGACTGGGGCTAGGAGGGATGGGACATCCCTGCCCTCCAGGGGACGGTGCTGCCACAGACAGGTTCAGTGTAATATATTGTGTGTTTGGGGTGGAGGATGGGGGACTGGTCCCTGGAGACCCCGAGGCGCCGCCCTTAGGGGTCCACCTGTGCCCATCCTGCTGCCCACTCTGGGCATGTACCCTCCTGAACAAGACCCTCCTTTCCTTCGCCATCCCTGCCTAGGACACGTCACCTGCCCTGAGACACCTGCCATGTGAGCAGGATGGGGGTCACTGAGGAAGGACAGGGTGAGGTCCTAGTGGCTGGTGGGGCTGAGGCTGCTGGCTCCACTCCCCTCCCAGGAGCTGACCACAAGGGCAAGGCTGAGACACCTCGGGGCGGTCAGTGTCCTCTCGGTGTGAGCTCATGCAGGACCCCCAGGGGAGCACAGGGGCTCCTGCTCTCCAGGGCTAGGGTTCTGTCTGTCTCCAGGGTTAGGGCCGCCCCGTGCGATGAGCCAGTTCTGCAGAAGCAGGAGCCAGGCTACCTCCTGCAGGTTAGATGCCTCGGCTGGCTACTCTTATCTGCTCCCAATTTGCACAAAAGAAATAAGAAATAAAATCAAAGTTGTTCTTCTGTCATCAACCCAAATGATGGCTGAGGCAGTTTTTAGGCTAAATTGTTTTATCCTCCTCCATACAAAGCTCTATGTATAAGAAGATTCCGCTCACCGGTGTGAGGCGGAGGCACCCGGTGCAGCTGACAGGATTCTGTCAGTGCTGACACCGGACAGAAACCAGGACTCGAGAAAAGGCCTGCCTGTATGCTGGGTTTTTTGACTATCCCATAAAACCTAACCCAGGCAGGAGATGGGGGGCACACCTGGGGAGAGACTCCATGCTATGCATCAACTCCTGTCCCACACACACCTCACACCTGCACACATCCCGCCACACCTGTGTTCACACCTGCAAACCAGGTGAGGTCAGCTCACAGTGGCTGTCTTGAGGGTAGGAGGCCTGGTACCGTTGCTCTGCTTAGCACCAAGGCAATGTTCCTTCACGTCCCCTCTTTGGGGTTACCATGTACTTCCCCATCACCCTCACCCAGGGGGGCCCGGAACCCTGTTGGTGGGTTTGCTCACTGTGCCTCTTGCGAGGATGTCAGGATGGCTGCTCAGCTTTAAAGGGTCAGAAGCCTGGGTGGGTCCTCTGACCTTAGCTGCAGCTGACGGGGTGGTCCTTAGGGGACCTGCTTCTTCACTTTGCACTCAGCCCACACCTGAGCTGCTCTGAAGGGCAGGGGATGAACGCTCCTGGGGTGGCCCTTAGCCAGTGGGGGCCAGGAGCCAGCGGTAAATGTTTCTGCTCCTCAGCCTCTGGGAGGAATTCGCACCCTAGCTTCTCAGAAAAGCTCCCAGCCTCTGGGATGAGCCTCAGGCTGGCTTTTGCTCCCTCCCTGCTGCACTCCTGCCCACTCCTCACTCCAGCACACAGTGAAGCTTTTGCAAAACCAGCCGCCTGCCCCTCTGCTCTTGCACATCCTCCTGCCTGGAACTGAGCACAATGCTTGGAGTTACAGCAGCCCTCGGGCCATCATGAAGACAAAGGCCACACACTCAGGATGCAGGATGCAGGGAGGAGCCTGTGGTCCTTGATGTCACCTTCTAGCAGCCACACCAGCCTCCAGACCTCCTGCCGCACAAGAAGCGCCCTGACTGATTAGACTGGTCTTAGAGCGGAATGCTTTGCACCACACCCATCGCAAGACTTACCGAACTGGCTGAAATGTTCCTACTGACGACCAGAAAGAAGGGCACGCTACACATGCAGAATGTAAGCTCCGGGGTACATGTATTTGTCTTACCTTATGGTTATATTTTTTTTATCGGTGATTATGTTTTTCCCCTTTTCTTGCCACTCAAACATTTTGCATCATGAATTTCTTGGTCTGTTTTCTCATAACTAGACACCGTGCTGAGACCACCATTCTTTATTTTGTGATGATTTTGGCCACTTTGCCTTTATCTTTTTGCTTTAAATTCTTCCTTGATTCTCCCAATCTTTTTTCTGGCCTCAAACATAATAAAATCTAACCCACATATAGAAAGGAGACTGGAAAAAATACACCAAAATATTAGCAATAGTTGTCTTTAAGTTAAAAAAAAGGAAGGCTTTTTTACCTTTCTTTCTTTTTCCTGTAGTTTCCAAATTTTCTATAATGATCATGTCTACTCTTTATAGTGGAAAAATAATACTTAAAAAATAAAATAGAGAAATTCTACTTCACATGGTGTTTATAAAAGTAAGGAGCGTTTACTCACTGGAGTGCTGCCCTCAGCGTGACAGGTGAGCTCAGTGAAGTTTCTAGTAACCCTATGAGACAGGTATTTTTATAGTGGCCAAAATAACTTTTTTTGTTTGTGCTTAATTAATGTATCTTTACTTTTTTATTTTTAGGTTTTCTGTGGCTGTTTCTGTTTGCATTTGGAGGTCCCTAGTAAGCAACATATAATGCTTGAAACAATTAAGACCTGTTCATTGCAGAGAAAAAGGAAGAGAAACCCTCAGCCCCACCTCCAGCGTCAATGGCTGAGCCTGTGTGTTCCCTTTCAGTCTTTCGTTTTATTTTGTTTTTTGACCTTTTTTTTTATTGAAGTATAGTCAGTTCACAATGTTGTGTCAACCTTTCAGTCTTTTTCAACATAGTTTCTAGCACAGATTCTGCATATTTTTTCCTTAACAGCATGACAAATATTTTCTGTATTATTGCTAAATATTTGTAAGCACAGTTTTTCATATCTGCCCAGTATTACAACTAGGTAAATATACCTTAATTTAGTTAACCCTAGTGGTCAATATTTAGATTGTATTTATGCTTTCAACACCTTAAACAAGAACGTGTACAGAGCTTTTCATTTAGGGTATTATCCTTGGCTGGATTTCCAGAAGTCAGAGTCCTGGCATGGGGGGCTCACCAGGTTCTGCACCAGGCTCTGGGAGTATGAGGTCATTAGCCACGTCTTGCGCTCGGACTCACGGTCGGCAGCCTCTGCAGGGGGGCAGGCAGGGCCAGGGCCCCTGGCATCCAGAAGGACAGGAGTTCACACAGCAACATGCAGAGAAGGGTAGTGGATGCCCGCAGGAAGCCCAGGTTCTAAGGGCAGAAATGGGGTAGAGGGAAGACGGGGCTGGAGAGGCGCAGGGATGGGGCAGGCTGAAGTTCAACAGGGAACCACAGCAGAATCTGAGGGTGAGGGGCCTGCTCAGGTTTCTGTTTAAAAATCCTGGTCTGGTTGCAGGTGCAGGTGGATTTGCAGACACAGGTGGAGGCAGGGAGCCTGGAGGAGGCTGCTTGTTGCATAAAGATCCAGGCAACAACTCAAGGTGGTTTGATCCAAGTAGAGGCAGGGAGGGGGACAGGCAGATGTAGGGGTGACGGGGTGGGGATGAAGGTGACAGCAGGGGCAGTCTAGGGTGACTCCAGGACTCCAGCTCAGGAAAGTGGAAAAAAGCGTAAAACACAGATCACAGAATGGGGGCAGGTGGGGGAAAGGCTTATGTAAGTTCTGTGCCTGTGTTTTGTTCCTCTGCACCCCAGCGCCCTTGCGAGGGTCACTATATTTATGAAAACTCACAAAGCACCCGGCCAGTGGCTGGCCCAGGGAGTGCCACTGAAGGTCAGAGGTAAGCCGCTGGGGCCCTCAGCACAGGGAAGGTGAGTCCTCGGGGAGGAAGGAAGCCAGCGAGGGAGAGCCCAGGACAGAGCCGGAGTGGGGGTCTGGAGCGCAGCGCAGCTGGAGACCACGAGGTCTGAGAAGGAACATTCGGCGAGGTGCAGGAAGGGGCCAGAGAGGTGGAGGAAGTGGGCAGGTGTGGGGAGGCCCCACAGAGCAGGAGCTGTTCCAGGTGAAGGAAGCCCAAGCATGTCCAACAGCTGTCCTAAAGGGCCAGCAGGAAGGGAAAAGTTAATGATACAAAGAAGTGGGAAGATGAGTGGGGGAGGGACTGAGCCCAGCAGGGACTCAGGCTGGCTGAGCAAATGGCGCCTTCCCTGAGACGGGCCTGGGGGGTGTGGGGCATTCCCTCCGGACAGAGAGCAGAAGGCGAGTGTTACAGCCGTGGGGTCGGAGGGCACGCCCCACGCCCAGCAGCAGAGAAGGTACAAGCTTCCAACAAACACATCCACGCCTCTTTCAATTTCAGTCAGTAGGAGCGTTTTCCCACAGATGCTCTACTTGGTCTTCTTGCCGCGTGGTTGCCATGTTCCCGGGTGCTGGCGTGCCGCTGGTCTGGAGCCCTGGCCTGAGCAGGGGCTTCCCAAATGCTGAAGGTGTGGGGCATTTACTGACCCCTAATGCTGTGACTGTATTTCCATTTGCTGGTTGCCCTTGACTAGAGCAGAGTGTGTGATTTTTACAGACAGCAGTTTTCAGTCTTCAGGGAATGAATCTGTCTGAACTTGCAGCTGTTCACTCCTGTTTCATAGCCTCGCCTGTTGTCTTCCTGGTGTTGCTCTCATCCTGGGCTCAGGGTTAGGGGCCCAGGCCCACCCTCAGGAAGGCACTGACTGCATGCTGACCTCAGCACCTGAGAGCTGGGGCTCATTCAGGGACAGGAGAGCAGGAAAGCCCTTTCTCCAGGAGGTAGCATCTATAATCACCTAGGGCATAGTGAAAAATAGTCACCTTTTTTCCTCTGGCTTTCTGTGGAAAATTCGGAAAATTCCAGGCTTAAGATTGAAGCAGATTGACCCCTGCTGTCTCACACACACTCACAAGCGCGCACGTACAGTCATGAGCACGCACACCCTCAGACCCCCTTGCACACCCACTCCTGCACAGGTGGAAGGAACACACATCCCATGACCGCTTCTCTCTGGTCTCAGCTTCCTCGCTGACCAACCGGGAGCATTTGGGGAGAATTCCCGACATGGTTTTGGAGAGCACTGAAAGGGTGAACCTCCTCACGACTTGGTCCCCGTGCCATGGGCGGCACCTGGCCCTGCGCCTGCTTCCCCAACCCCAGAAACAGCCAGGGTCACACCAAGCAGAGAGTTTATTGAGGTGCTGGACTGCGGGGAGTGTTTGCAGCGGCAAAGCAGGTGCTGGTGTGGCCGGGGCCCGGGGCCGGGCACCTCCTCCTAGCAGCGTCTGGGGCTTGGGGTGAGCATCAGGAACGGCTCCTAGTCCCCCCAGGGCCCTTCTGAGGAACTCCTTCCCGCCTCCCCTGACCTCTGTGGGGGGCAGTATGGGGTCCCTCTCTTGGTTCCTATGGTCAAGGATGGGAAGATTCCTTGATATTCACTATAAAAATTAAAATTCCTTTATAAATCACAGGGGGCGAGTGGGAGGGGGGAATCACCTGGGAGCTTCCGCCACACACCCCTCCCAGTTCTGACCCCAAAGTAAAGAGCAGAGGGAGAGGGTTTGCAGGCACAGAGGGGGCAGAGACAGACAGGAGGAGAGAGGAGGGAGGCCAAGGGCAGACCAGGTGACACAGAGAGAGAATGGATCAGGGGAAGCGGAGGCGCAGGCTCCACTCTCCAGCAGCCCCAGGGGAGCAAGGAGAGTTCCCAGCATAGCCCGGAGACTCCCTGGATGTCAGATCCCACGTGCCCCCAGTCCAGTCCTTGCCAAAGCTGCGGTGGCCTATTGAGACACCTCCAGCCCCAGCTGCTCCCAGTAGCAGGACGGCTACTCCAGGTAGATGTCCTCGGTGGGGCAGGCATACTCCAGGTGCTCCTGGTAGTACTCCAGGAAGGCGCGGCTGGGGGAGAGAGAGTCCTCAGCCCCCAAAGCCCCCAAGCCCCCCCACCTGGGCCTGCCCACATCACCCCCCAGCTTCACTCAGCACTCCTGGCCCAGCAACCATGTCCGCAGCACAGACCACTTCCCTTACTGTCTGGCCTCGATGCTGCCTTCCCACCCCCACCCTCACCCCCACCCCCACGGGCAATGCAACTGTGCCCTTTCCATCCCCAGGATCCCCCAACGCTCCTGCCCAAGTGTTCCAACTACCACCTTCCCAACCTTCCACCTCCATCACTCTCACCTGACCTTCCTCCTCTCCCACCTCCCCTGTCCCCAAGTCTCCCCAAACCTCATCCCCGCATCCTCCCAGCTTGCTCACCCCCCAGGTCACTGCTGCATGGGTTCTGCTCCCTGCCCCGCCAGTCCAGCCATTGCTCGCGTTGGCCCAACCCTAATCCTATACCCACCCTCCGGACCCACTCACCCCACACTTTGGGCCACGGGCCTCATCGACTCCTGGGAGACGAAGACATGGCAGGCAAAGCGGCTTAGCAGCGGGTGTTTGGTGATGAAGCCAAAATAGCTGCAGGGTGGCAGGGAAAGTTGGCATGGAGGGACGCCAAGGCGGACTCACACCTCAGCCCCCAGTGACTGGGGAGAAGAGGCAGGGACAGAGGGCTCAAGGAGAGAGTTGGGGTGAGGGAAATGTGCGGCTCATGGGATTTGAAGATTTGAGTCCCCCTTTTGGGTCCCTGTCCAAACACAGTGCTGGGCATCTGTGAAGAGTTAATGACCTACGTGAACTTCTTCACCACAGGGGTGTCCAGCTGCGTCTTCCTTCTCCCCAGCCACTGCCATCCATCTCTGTGCCTCCCCTACCCTCGCCCTCCCCCGAGCCTGGACCACAGAGCCAGGCCTCTCCCCTGTCTTTTGGACACCACATCCTGGCTGACTCTTCCTTGTCATGTCACATGACACCATGAGCCTGCCCAGCCCCACCCCGGGCCCACCGTCCGGGCTAAGCCTTGGCCCTCTACCCTAGCCCTCCATCCCTCAGAGCAGCACCTATACAGAGGACCCCTCAAACCACCTCCCTTGTCAATGGAGAAGCCGCCAAACAGGACTCTGACCCCGCTGAGGGTTGATATCACCGCCGGCCAGCAGACACAGCCCTCCTCACTCTCTTGCCACAACGTCCAGGTGACACATGTGCTGGCCTTGGCATCGGTCACAGGCCAGGCCCAGCAGCAGCTTGCCCTTCCCACATCCTGCCTCCCTTGAGGACCCACTTCTCCAAATACCACCGGGCGCTTTGAGCCTCTGTGTGCCTCTGTCTCCCTCGCTGGGTAGCTCCTTCTCTCTCCTTCATCTGGGGCACTGGGATCCGTGCGCAGGAGTCTGGCTGGGCACACAGTGGTCATGCTTCTCCCCTTTCAGCCCAGTCTCTTCTCACTCTGTCTGGCTTCCTATGTGCTTCATGGCCAAAGTTACCCACCTGCTTGGAAACATTCCTTCCCCCAGGTCTCCTTTCCACATTCAGACCCACGTAACAACAGCCACGTCAGTCTCACTGCGTCTGCGATTGGATACTGTACCACCAGCCTGACTGGCCACTCACATACCTCTTCTCTTGGTATGTGGGCTCCTATCTTCCTAACACCCAGGTCACCCTTGATTCTCCCTCCAGGTCAGCCAATCAACCACATCCTATCGACCCAGGTCCTGCCTGCCCCTCCTCCTGAATGCCTGCAGGACGCAGCACCCGGGTCCTTCCACTCTGCCCAGCAGCCAGAGCCAGTTTGTCAACCTGTCATACTGTGACCCCACCATCAGTGGGATTAAGTACAAGCTCCCTGGAACAGTCAGAAGGACACAGGTACCCCAAGTGTCCTTCAAGCTTTATTCCAGCTGCTCCCCAAGACCCTAGTGTCCCTTGCCCACAGCTTTGGCTCAGCTGGCCCCCAGCCAAGAAGACCCACCCTATCACCTACTTGTCTTTCAAGGCTTGCAGAGTGCTCTTCAGTTGCCTCTTGAGTGGCCCCACCACTGGAGCCCCATACAGACGTCCACCAGATCCCCTACAGGTGCTTCCAGCACTACTTGTCTGTGTGTCTGTCTGATCCTTGTCTCCTGAGCCCAGCAGAGTGGGTGCCATGTGGGGGCTCAGCTCATGGAGCTAAATGGGTGTGGGGGGTGGAAGGCGGGACTGTGTGCGGGCAGCCCTCGGGGACTATGGGGTGGCTCAGGCTCTCACCAGCTGTTGCGGGGGTGGCAGCCGCAGAACGAGATGTTTTTCATCTGGAAGAAGTGGCTGCAGTGTTGGAACTAGAAGGGGAGAAGCAGGAGTGCGCCAGGTTAGGTGGAGTTGGCCCAGGGCCATTCCAGCCACCCCTGCCAGATGTCCCTCAGTCAGACCCTCCTGCCTTACACCCCCCAGCCTCCCCTGTCCTCAGGTCCTCACACCCCCACCTCGGGTCCTCCGCTTAGACTCAGCTTGACCCCCCGAAGAGAAATCTCAAGGTCACAGGAAGCAGGAGGACGTAGGTGGACGGTCAGTTTCCGGGCAGTGGCAATCTGGAGAAGAAGCCAGGGAAGAAGGGGGTCTCAAGGGCCTACAAGGATGTCTTTCCCTCCTGGGGGAACATTTTAGATTAGATCTGAAGACTTCTTGCACTGGCTCTGGAAGATGGGAGCGTGGTCTTGGCCATTCCTCAGTCCCGGGACAGCCTGCCTCACCTTCTTTCCATTCCTCCCATCGACCCAGGCCTCCTCACTGCATGTCTCCGGAGCTGAGTGGGGGCTTCCGGATACAGGGCTGTCTTGCACCCCTACTGCTCTCCTGCTCAATCACAGGACCAGCAGATGGACAGCGCTCACTCAGTGTCCACTGTGTGAATCAGTGAATGAGCAAATGACTCCCAGGGAGGGGTCTGTGAGAGCTGGTCTTGATGTTCAGGTAGGAATAGGACAAGTTGAAGGGGAGGAAGGGCCAGTGGGAGGTGATGGGGGACAGCTGCTAAGCACTGTCCTGGGTTTGCCTGCCCAGGCCTCTGAATCACAGCTGGAGGGCCAGGCATCTGAGGTCCCCAAGGCATCCCCTGAACCCTCTGTGGAAGAGGGCAGAGGCCTGGGGTCTTCAAGGTTGTGCCAGCCTGGGGGCTGGGGTCCCCACCTCTAGACTGACCTTCTGCATGGCTGCACACAGGATGCCATTACCCTGGTGACAGGGCACCTCCACGGAGCCCAGGAACTGCACGTCGAAGCGCTCCACCCAGCAGGGGCCCCGCTTGCTCCCTGGGGGAGGGTCACAAGGGGCTAGGTCAGGTGAGCGAGAGGAAGTCTGGGGTGACGAGAGACTCCCTGGGGATGGGGCCTCACCCAGCAGGTCCTTGGCAGGGCCGGGCACTGCGTGGGCATAAAAGGCCGGGAAGACACCACGCTCCCCTGTGCGCATGTTGAAGCCACGGAACCAGAAGTCATCCTCCTCAGCCTCCACCAGCACCGGGTCATCCACATCCAGCTCCAGCTCGTCCGGATGGCGAGGGATGAACCTGAGATCAGGTCAGAGGTGGGAGGTCACTGGGGCAGGGGCAGGACTGGCTGGCTCAGGAGGCCAGCAGTGTCCTATAACATCTGCAGACTCAGGAGGGTCACCAGTGGCAATGGCAAGGGGGAGAGGCTGTACCTGAAGACGGCCCGGTGGGTTTGCTCTCTCTCCTCCCCATTGACCAGGCAGGAAAAAAGGCCAAAAGACTCAGTGCCTGAGAGACAGAAACAGGAGACAGAGACTCAGGGGAAGGGAGGAGGAGGAAAGAAAGTACCTGATGGCCTGGCCAGTTCCCCCCGGCCCCCAACAGTATGGTGTGGGTTGTCCTCAGGTGGGGAGGGAGGGAGAACCAGCTCATCAGGGGTTGGAGGCAGAGCAGCCCTCCCCACCCCACGGGGGTCTGGGGAAAGCCCCAGGCCTAGGTCCTGGAGAAGAGGGCAACGCCCAGCCCTGACCACCCGCAGACCCTCGGGCTGCCTTGGGCACTCTGGGGATCTGCATGGGCCCTGGGGCTTAGGAGGCAGCTTATTCCCCTGGGACCACCCCCTTTCCCCACCCCCCACTCACTGGAAGATCGAGAGGTGCTGTTGACAAAGACATTGAGGAACTTCTTGGAGAAGGTGAGGTCGGGGCTGTCTGGGGAGGCGTCCCCAGGGCCCTGGCCACCACTCAGCAGTGCAGCCCCTGCCTCTTCCTCGCTGGCCTCGCCACCACTGTCCTCCTCACTGTCGTCACCCAGGCCAGCGCAGCGCCGCAGGCTCACCAGTTCCAGCTGCGTGTGCTCGTCCACCACCAGCGTGTACTTCACTGCATCGTACACCAGCGAGGCGTCCAGCGCCGCAGGGCCCGAGCCTCTGCCCCCAGGGGGCGCTGCCTTATCCCCAGCCTCCTCCTCCTCCTCCTCATCCTCTTCGTCCTCCGAGCAGGCGGCGGAGCAAGCGCGGCCTGGGCGGGCAGCGCGGCCTGGAGCGGCCCACAGCGGCGTAATGGTGTCTCGCGTGGGGTTGCTGAGGAAGAGGCAAGGCCCGGGCTGCGCGGGGCCGGGCCGAGGTGCGGAGGGCGCAGGGGGCGGCGGCCCACACAGCGTCTCCATGTCCACCAGCTCCACGCCGCCTGGCCCGGTAGCCGCCTCGGGGGCCTCAGGGGTCCCACCGGCGGGCGTTGCAGGCTCCGCGGCAGAACGCGAAGCGGGAGACAGGCACTGGCCTGGGCAGAGGATGGGCGAGGAGCCCTCGGAGATCATGCGGCTCACAAGGTTGCTGAGCAGCCAGGGCGAGTCGGCATCCTCGCTGAGGTCTGGCTCAGACTCGGACCCTGACTCATACTCGCTGTTGGTGTCATCGGGGCCCACGGGCAGAAAGGCAGGGCGACGCGGGGGCTCGCACGGAGGCTCAGGCTCAGGCTCAGGCTCCGAGGCGGGAGATGAGGCCTCCTCAATGGAGTTGGTGAGGTGCGAGGAGCGGCCGCTGCTGCTACTGCCGTCGTCGCTGCTCCGCTCCAGCTCCGTCTCTGAGATGGACGAAATCATGCGCCCCAGGCGCGCGCCCTCTGCGTCCTCGGAGTCGGAGCCCGGCGACGACAGCTCTTGGCTGCTGCGCCGGCCCCCGCGGCCTCCGCTAGAGCTCCCCAGGTCGGCCTCTATGCCCGGATCTGAGGAGGGCGAGGCCCCACCTTGTGCCAAGGGCCCTGCGGGCTGGTTTCCTTCGCAGTCGCAACCTGGGCGCAAAGGTGACTGCGCCCCACAGGGGCTCAGGTCCGTGGGTGGGAGCGGGGCGGGCGGTTCTGCAGAGTAGGAGGTGCATCAGCCAGGCCACTCCCCTCTACTCCTACCCCCTTGCTTCTTATGCACCCCTAACCTGCGGTCTAACTCACCTTTGAGGGGCTCCTGGGCGGGTGGGCACAGCACTGTCTCCTGCCAGGAGCCTGGAGGCTCCAGAGCAAACCCTCCATTGTTGTTCAAGGAGTCCTGAGAGGTGGAGGTTAGGAAAGCAGCGTTGAGGAAGGGTCCCAGTTCTCAGGGGTAAGAGGGGACAGGCAGCCATGGGGACCAGAGTCCTGGATGCTAGGAACCCCAGTTTAGCCCCAGGATGCTGTGAGTCTGGATGCTCACCTGGGCTCCCAATGTTGTCAGGTGGAGTGTGGTTGGCCGATGCTTGTGGGGCTCTTCCAGTGAGGGGGAGGGGATCAGGGGCTCCTGAGTAGTGTCCTCTGAGCCAGGGCCTCCTCCCTCCTTGCCCTCTCCCTCTCCTTCCTCCTCCTCTTCCTCTTCATCCTCCTCTTCCTCTTCCTCCTCCTCTTCATTGTCATCGATCATCTCAAACTCTTGGAAGTCATCCTGGAAGGAGCAGATGGGGTGTGGCTGCTCCGAACGCCCCAGGGAGAGGCTGTCCTGCAGGAAAGAAGAGGACAGAGCTGGGCCAGAGTAGAACAGTGACTGGGGATCCCAGGTGGCAGGAAAGGGGAGCAGAGTTCACTCTGCTTTCCACCAACAGCTTTTTTTTTTTTATCGGCTTAGGATACATAAGGATCACTCCAGTTTTTGGTAACTAAGAGCCCAAACTCTTAAGTCTGGGTGACAGAGATTCCACAACCCACCTGTCAGCCTCATCTCACCCCCAAACCCCATCACATATGACACAAGCACTCTTTACATCATAGCATTTTAACACAACTCATAACTACCATAGAGTTTTGGTTCTGTCTTCCTCACCAAGCTGCAAGCTCCACCAGGATAGGGCCATGTACATACTGTACATGGGTGTACCCTGCCCCCCACCGAGAACAGAACCTGGCCCACACTGGAAGCTCAGTAAATATCAAATGGATGCCTGAAAGAAAGACAGCTAGCACCCAAGACTCACCAAGCTCGCACCAACCTCAGGTTAGGAACTTTGACCAGATAATCCCTTGCCAGCAGTTCCTTTCCTCCATTCTCTCCTATCTCCCTCATCTGCCAGCTCCTGCTGGTGTTCCTGAAGGGCATGGTTGTGCACCATTTCCACTGGAAAATCCCGATGGCCTCATTCTCGGGTGGTTTCTCCTTTTTGCACCTGTGTCCCCCCGTTGGAATCTAGTCGTTGACACCCAGGCTGCCACTGCCTTTCACATGTCTTTCTCCTCTACTAGATATAAGCTCCAGAGGGTAAGGGCCACACTGGTCCTGCTTTCCCCCGAGGCACCAGGAAGCCCCCAGCACTTGCCACTTGGGAGTTGCTCAGGAATGTTCTTGAATGAAAACAAACATGGAGAGATAGGGAGGAGGAGAAGCAGGAGATGGGGGCAGAAAATATTTCAGGGGTGGAGACATGAGGCAGACAGATGGAGGCTTGAGAGGTGGGGAAAGGGCTGAGGAGGAGACAAACTGAGATGGCAGTTGGAAGGGGTTAGATCTTTCTGAGAAGTGATCTGAGGACAGAGGGCACCAAAGCATAGGCACATCTTCCCTCCCCCAAGCTAGCCTAGTGATGGAGGTCAGGCGAGGACTGCTGGGGAAGGCCCTCAATGGAGAGCCTATAGTCTGTTAGAAAAATGTAGGTTTGACATCAAGGAAGAACCCAGGTCAAGAGGCCAAGAGAGAGGAGGCAATCAGAGGATTTCTTGTTCCAAGGGTAAGCTTAGACCCGCCCTAAAACCCGAAAAGAACGTTAAGCAGAGCCCAAGTGAGACTCTCCCTTCAGAGAGTTCTATGCCCCCAGCCCCTTTCCCACCTTTTCGCAGTGGTCCGAGTCATAGCTGAGGCCCAAACCGCAGTCATCGGTGATCTCAGACAGATCTTCATCATCAAATTCTTCCAGGCTTATGTCCTGGGGAGGTCTGATGAAGAGACCAGGGTAAGAGAGCAAGGACTGGGCTCCTGACCGAGTCACCAACTCTGGACTCTCCATCTGGGAGATGGTCCTGAGGAGGGGCCAGAGAGACCACCCCCCGGATCCTGGGCCCTGTGACCTCCATAGCCCTGACTCCCAGACCTGCATCCTGCCGTTATCTTGGACTTCAGACTCTACTCTCCAATGGATTCTCCCACCATCTGAGCCATGATCAGCCCAGAAGAGCTGCCTGTCCCTCGAACCCTCCTCCCAGTCCTCCTCCCTCATGGAGCGAGCAGCCTCTCCTCCCTCTGTGCTTGGCTCCAGGCCCCTCTGGGTCACAGCCTCAGCCTCAGGGGAGTCGGGCTAAGCAGAGAAGGGGGAGGGGGAGATGAAGCTGCAGCAGTAGAAGGAGGAGGAGGGGTTGAGCATGTTCTAGGAGCAGAGTCTGGCCACTCTGTCCCCCACTCCCACCCAAGGCAGGCCTACACCCGGAGGTTCAGGCTTCTCCCCACCTTAGTCCCTTCCCCCAGGCTCCAGGCTTGATTTCAATTCTCTCCCTCCCTGAACCCGACAGGCCAGGCCAGGCCTCCACCAAAGAAACCCAACAAGGCCAAAAGGACACTGCCAAGCACAGAGGGTGTGCTCAGCATCCTGCCCAGGCAGGCTGCCCCTCAGATGCTCAGTCCACGACCTCCACCCTTGAAGGGTCGGCTGTCCAGGCTGGGTGCGGCACTGAGTCTCAGCAGGAATCGGGGGTGGAGGGTCATTGGGCTGGAGGAGGGGGGACAAAAGGAGGACAAAAAATGGAGATAACAGGAACCCAGGGGTGGGGGATGGGGAGCAGGAGTCAGGACTAGAGAGAGGCCTGGGGCTTGGGTACCCAGTAGACGATAGGGGTGAGGTGGCAGGTTCGGGTCGGAGGAGTCTGGGCACTGGGTCAGAGAGGGGACTGCAGGAAGGAAAGGGCCTGCCAAGGCCCGGGGCGCCCAGTTGCGTACCTGCAGCCTGGCGGCGATAGCGAGTGAAAGGTGGAAAGAGAAAACATCTCCGCCCGATCCGCCATCTTCTCCGGGGAGAGGCCTGCCGACTGCGGCGGGGGAGGGGTGCCCAGAGCGACAGCCCCGCACGCCCTTGTCGCTCCCTCCTGCCCGCCCTCGGCCCGCCCCGAGTCACCTCGTGACACGCCCTGCGACACCCCGCCGCCGGCACACCTCGACGCCAGGACACCGCGGCAGCGCGAACTGGGGGAAGGGAGGGGAGGACCCGGGAAGAGGGAGGATCCGGGGGAGGGGAGGAGGGCGGACCCGGGAGGAGGGCGGAGGGGATGGCGGGGAAGCTGGTTGGAGGAGACAAGATGGTTTGACTGAGAGGCTCTGGTTGGGGAATGATCGGGTGTGCAGTTTGGTTTTTTCGGGGTGGGGGCAGGTGAAAAGTGGATTGGTAAGAATGCGGGATCAGTTTGTGCGGTGAGAGCTTAAATGAAGAAACTGCGGTGGGGAAGTCGGTCAGCAGACCTCTGGTTAACTGAGTTTTTTTTGGGGGGGGGCTAGTGGAGGGGTGGGTGCGGCTGCTCTAGGAGCTGCGCTGACGTCCCAAGTAATCAGAACAGAAGAGCTGAGGTCCCAAGTCTGGGTCTGAGTCAGTCATACGGAGACTGGGCAGAGGATGAGGAGCTGTCCACGTCTGGGTGCTGATCAGGGCTGGTTGGAGCTGTCCCACAAAGGGTGCTGATTGGGTCTACGGAAATTTCGCCCTAAAACGAGCTGATTGGGGCTGGAGGAGCTGTTTCCCCTGCAGGTACTGATCGGAGCTGGAGGCGCTGATTCCCCAGCGAGTGCTGAACAGTGCCGGACAGAGGTATCTGACCACGGGATGCTGATCCGGCTGGACTCGGAGTTGGCCATACAGACTATGCTGACTGAGGCCAAAACTGAACTTTTCAGTACATAGTACAGGCTGCGCAGGCTGGACTGAGGTATTCATGGGCACTGAGTGAAGTTATAACCCTGAGACTATGTTCATTCAATTGGAAAACTATTTCTTGAGCACCAGCTATGTTACTGGCACTTTTTAGGGTATCAACATGTTCTGGCTTCAAGTGGAGCTGCATAGGGAGAGAAGTGGTTGAAATCCAGCTGGAGGAGTCACATTCGGTGAGGGTTATCTGATATTGCAGTGGGGGAAGGACAGATCAGGGTTGTGAGTATGGTTATTTGTTTGTTTTTTGTTTTTGTTTGTTTTGGGGGGAGGTAATTAAGTTTATCTATTTTTTAATGGAGGTACTGGGGATTGAACCCAGGACCTTGCACATGCTAAGCATGAGCTATAACCCACCCACTCCCAGTATGGTTATTAAAGAAAGTTAGGAGCAGCAGGATAGGGAGACTGTGGAGACGATTTGGCTAAAGAGGGATGCTGGAGTTTCAACAAGGTGGCAGTAAAATTATTCCTTTTTGCTTGATGGAAATTATATGCCCTGATATTTCTTTGTCCATTTATTTCTGTAGAAAATTATTTCTGAAGGATTAGGCTCTTGAGTGATTGATGCTTGGAAACCACAGGACAGAAGGAGCTCACGCAAGATGGGAAAGGTGACATCATTCTCTGGATGGCAATCTTTCCAGCCGAGAGAAAAGGCCTATGGCCAGGGGCAGATGGTGCCCTCTTTTGTGGTCCAACAACAATTTATATTTTATCTCAATTACAGTGTTTTTGTAAGAATGACATTTATAAATGTATGTTTCCCTCTCAATGATTGAGAGCTGCAAGAGAACAGAGACAGTATTTTATCTCTCTTTAAACTTCCAAGCTCCAAGCCCAGTGCCTGGCACACAGTAGGTGGTCAGCAAATATGTGAATGAATGAGTGAATGAGGGCTTATAGGCTCTACCAGGTCTGGGGGATTAAATCCTTTTCATCATTTGTCTTTTCAATTTTAGTAACACTAAGAACATTCTTCATTTCTGGGGTTCAAGGAGTCTGGATGTATTAACCACTCTTTGATTTTCCCCACAAAACTCCAGATCTCTTCCCAGAATTCACAAACAGTTTTGACCAAAACTTCCCAGCTTTCCTTTCAATCCTGAGTCTTGTCATCAAACTGGTTAACATGAACATCCACATAAGTGATCCATCCAACACTCTTGACTTCTGACCAGCCAACAGTCTGATAGTATGTGGTCCACTAATGGTACAGTTAGTACAAAACACAAAATTGGCTGGACTTACAATGGAAGATTGGAACAGCAACACAGTCTCAGCAGTCTTGACCACAGATCAATCCTAGAAAGTCAGGGGACACTTTCTGACAATTTTCTCATAGATTAGAAAATAAACAAATGCAAACTATCTGTCTTTTATTTCACTCACATAGCACGGAAGTCACAAACACAAAATTTTAAATGCCAATAGCTGAAACAAAAAATGAAAAGCTTATGAGCCATACTTTATTGGGAATTCTGTCATAACTAGTAGCTTCACTACCTCTTGAATCTTGATTTTAAGCTCACAATTCTCTGACCATCACTTCCGATTTTTCTTGCTTTCTTATTACCACGACATCCACAATTATTTGACTCCGTAAGAAACTTGTTCCCGGTACTACTGCTGTGTACTAAATTACCACCAAATTTAGAGGAATTAAACAACCACTTTACTTATAGTTTTTAGGTTATAAATTCAGGAAGGACTCCAGTGGGAAGTTCTTGTCAGGGGTTTCTCATGCAGTTTGTTTATAGCCAGAGGTAAGCTGGGCTGGACATCCAAGATGGCTCACTCACAAGGTTGGCAGTTGTCACTGACCGTTGACTGGGAGCTCAGCTGAGGCTGTCAACCAGCACCTACACCTGGCCTCTCCAGCATAGAAGTCTCAGGGTAGCTGGGCTTCTTACAGAATGGCAGGCTTCCCCCAGAGTGAGTGTCCTAGGAAGGCCAGGGGGCAGATGCATGGCCTTCTCTGATCTAGCCTTGGAAGTCACATGGCATCACTTTTGTCGTATCTGTTGGCTAAAGCAGTCACAATCCCATCCATATTCAAGAGAGCAGCCATGGACACCAACTCTCAATGGAGGCGTGTCAAAGAATTTGGAGGCTGTGTTATAAAACCACCACAGATCTCCAGCCTATTGATCTTCCAACTTTTCTCATTACCAAATCAAGTTCCTTGCTTGAAATTAGCCCCCTTTTTGGAATCACCAGCTTCTCTTCTGGATTGTTTCCATCAGCAAACCAACATAATCCAGTGTTAAAAGAAACAGTATATTCTCATCTCTGTTCCAATAAGGGATCCAAAGCCATGGGATTTGCAATACTGTTATGCCTTACAGGAAAGGACAGTAAAAAAATATCCTTCTTTTAGTTTAAGAAAGAATTCTCACAAATAGTTATATCTTTCAGAAAACAGATTTCTACCAATGAGAAAAACTATTATCATAATGAATCAGAGTTGAAGCTTTTTTTTTCTTAAGGGATTGTCATTAGGAAATAACAACAATCTTTGAAATCTAAATACCTTAAAAGTGTCCTTTGGTCCGAAGTGCATTCTTCAGAATTTTCTTTATTGAGAGCTTGGGGAGGTAAACTCTCAGTTTGTCTAAAAATGCCTTTATTTTTTTGTCCTGACTCCTGAAAGATATTCTTACTAGATATGGACTACTATGTCAGGTAGTTCATTTCCATCATCATCCACTGTCTTCCTCTGAACTCCCTTGTTGGTATGAGAAGCCACCTCTCAGTCTGCCACTCCTTTAAAGGTAATTACCTTTTCTTCTCCAGCTACATTTAGGACTTCTTTCCTTGTCTTTGGTGTTCTGAAGTTTCAATACAGTATACCTAGGTGTGGTGTATTTATTTGTTCTGCCAAGGTTCACTGAGATTCTTATCTATATGAATTCTCTTTCCTCAGTTTAGAAATTATCTCTTCAAATGTTGCCTCTGCTCCATTCCATCTCTCCTCCTTCTGGGACCCCAATAAGACTTACGCTGGACCTTCTTGTTCTAGCCTCC